GCCTCCAGCTCCCAGCATTCTTGTTTAAAGGCAGGGTCTCACCATACAGCTCAGGAATGCATCACTGTGCCAAGCCATAAGCAAATCTGGCTCTTGTTCATCTCTGCCAGTGACAGGGACCTGCAATATTTACCATTGTGTATCCCTTAGACCTTAAACATAGGCCAGATATTGAAATATTTGTTAAGAGGCCAATAAAAGCAACTAACACCAATGCACACAAAATAAAAATAAGTTATTTAAAAAAAAGATAATTAATTACCAGACCTGTATTCAATACTGCTAGTGGAGACAGTTGTCTGGAGTCACACTGGTGGTGTGTGCTACAGATTCTAGAATTCTCTGCACTCACTCCACTGAACTCACCCCTTCAACAGGGAAAAGGCAAATCTTGCACAGAAGTCAGGGATTCAGGTTAAGGGTCTCTTTTTCAAGGGGCAGTGCTGGCAATGGAATCCAGGCACACACAAGCACCAGGACAGTGAGCATCCTGCCACTGATTTCATTCCGAGATTCCAGGCTGCAATTAGAAGTTTATTAAGGCCAGGAATAGTGGCATATGCCTTCAGTTTCAGAGCTCAGGAGGCAGAGGTGGGCAGACATTTTGAGTTTGAAGCCAGCCTGGCCTACATATTAAGTTCCAGGACAGGCAAGGCTGTATATCGAGACTGTGGGTGGATGGAGCTGGAAAGATGGGTCCGAGGTTAGGAAATCGTGTTGCTTTTGCAGAGGATACCCATCAGGTTATTTGGCTCACAACTGTATAGGACAAGACATGCACATGGTCCTGTGGAGAGCACCAGAGTCCCTGGAACTGGGGTTAACAGGCAGTTGGCAGCTGCCACACAGGTGCTGTGTGAATTGATCCCTGGTTCTGTGCCAGTGCTCTGAACAGCTGAGCCCTTGGGTGAACCTAGTTAAGGCAGCCCTGATTTATACTATGTCCTTCATGTTTCTTGAAGTGTCAGCGCTGGGGCATTAAATAATAGTTATTAAGAGAGTACTGACCAAGGCTATGAAGTGAATTAATGATATTGAAATAAAGAAGCAAGAATGCTGCACCAAAAGTTCCTTCATTCACCCCCACGGGCCTCTGGAGTTCTAGGGACCACACTAGGAATCACAGCTAGAAGTCAGGCTGTTCCCACAGGAAAATGAAAAGTCTTCACAGCTTATTTCCTTTAATTACATCATAAAACAAAATTAGAACATACAGGAAACAATAATAGTTACATAACAATTTACTTTATATATTTATATATATATATATAAAAACATTTCTTTAGTCCAAAGATTTTAAAGCAAAAAAAAAATGTCTACTGCCTCCTTGGATTTTATTTATTTAAAACAATTCTCCCCACCCCCACATCCTTGGGTGATGGAAGTATTGTATATACAGTCACTTAGCTAATGGAACCTGGTAAGTCCCCACCGGGGAACTGTGCAGGGCCTGGGGAGTGGCTGAGTGTTGGCGCAGGCCTGGTGAGAAACAAGCAAGCAGCAGCTCCCATACAAAAGTCCAGGTCAGGCCCAGCAGCTGGGGCACAGGGTTCATGATATTGTGACTGCCCTGCTACCCCCTCAGGGAGTTGGCAAAGACTAGGGGTGCAGGAGTGAAGATGAGAGTTCCTCAGACAGCACCAGGTACCCATCCACCTGTCCCTGAGCGGTCTGACAGGAAGGGGGCAGTCTGCACAGTGCTCTCAGGGTCACTGGAAGGTGGGTAAGGTGAGCAGAACCACCAAGAAATAGTAACTGGAAATAATGCCTGGGAGACAGGAGGTGGCCAGAGGACAAAGGCAAATTGAAGCCTCTTTGAAGTGGTGATCACTGATTCCTGGGGTCAGTTCTGGGGTCACAACACAGGGAGGAAGAGCTGGCCTAAAGTTTCTGCTACACGTGCCAATAGGATTTAGGGGTAAGTGCATCATGTGTGGGTTCTGTAAGGAGGGGGTGGTCCCCCCCTTCCTTGACTCAGGATTACAAATTAACAGTCGTCAGACACAGGAAAGAAATGATCCTTTGTATACAAAGGGACAGACCTTCGGTGTGACCCTGGTGAGCACAGCCCGGGTCCATGTATTCAAGTCCTGCTGCAGTACTGCGGGAGCCGTGTCTCCAGAGAGCAGCAAGCTAACCATAGACCACTCACAGTCGTTTTTTCAAGTAGTTTTTTCTAAGACTTTAGAGGTCCTCATTGTTTAGTGACACTAAAAATGAGTGGATGAATGTTTCCAGGAGCTGAGAAATGTTGGGCTAAGGGAAGAAACACAGAAGCAGCAACTCAGGGCAGATCTGAGTTAACACGGGTAGTTAGTGGAGCAGAGAGACACTTGGAAGATCTTAGAGCTCTTGGTTCTGTGGGTTTGATAGGAGACACACCTCTCAGTATCTCCTCCTGGGGTAAAGACTGTTACTCACTGTTCCATACTCCCTCTGGCAGGGAAGCCCTTCTTGACACCTGAGAGGCATGGAATTGATGAGATGAAGACGACACAGTGAACACGTCACACAGGAAGTAGCAGTCCTATGAGCTCAGGACACATGCTTGTCCTGAGGCAAAGCATCCCAGTTCTAGAATAACCCTCTCCCATGAGCCTTGCCTACCACTTCTGCATGCCAGTTCTTAAAAAAAATAAGGTACAGGGAAACACACGATAGGAAGGGTCACCAGGCTCCTGCCTGTTCGGGGGTTTTTGTTCTATGAGCCACCCTGGCTGAGAAGCATGGACACGCACATGCAAACTCAACTCCACAAAGTCTCAGACCAAACACTCATGGGGCAGAGATCCAAAAACTGCAGATGGATGTTCTCCAACACCCCACATGGGATTTGTATAACAAAAGCTTCTTCCTCCTGAAGATCACATGTAACTTTCTTGAACTCCCAAGATTCACTCAGACTCAAGTGAGAGGCTAATAAACTGACTTTGCTAAAAGCCTCCAGAGATGCAGAAATCAAAACAGACAACACAGCTAGATTTGGCTCGAATGGGAAGCTGCAGGAGCTCTTCATATAAAAAACTCACCTGCCCTCCCTGGCAGTTTCCAGCAGTAAAAATAAGAAGGCAGGGTTGCAGCTGGTGCTTAAACAGCGTATATTGTCTGGAGGATGAAGACGTAAAGTTGGGACAAACCAGCAGGGCTAATCACACCCTATTGATACATCTCTTTCTGCATCTTCCAATGCAAATTTAAGATAAAAATAAAGGTGAGGAAGTGAGATTCTTACTCCCCCTCATCCTTCTGGTTTAGAATTTTTTTGTCCTTAGGTCATTTAAGGGTTTCTCCATCCAGACATTCTCCAGCGTTATCAGATAAGGCTGGGCTTGTCCCTGGCCTGTCAGCCGGGCCCACAGGATAGAAGCCCATCTGAACAATGCAGAAAAAGCCCAACAGTACCCTTTCCTTGTCTGCTTTCTCACTGATGACAACTAGATGAGCTGCCTGACTTTAAAAGCAATAAACCTTATGTTTTAAAGAATTTTATTTATTGGGTCTGTGGTTAAGAGCACTAGGCTGTTCTTCCACAGGGCCCAGGATCAATTCCCAGCACCCACAACAGCTCACCCAATCAAAAAAAAAAAAAAAAAAAAGAGGGAGAGAGAAAGAGAATTTTATTTATTGTCAGGTAGTGGTACACTTCTTTAATCCAAGCACTCAGGAGGCAGAAGCAGGCAGTAGGCTACCCTGGCCTACAAAGTGAATTCGAGGATAACCAGGGCCCTTAAAGTATTATTGAAGCAAGTGTGCATGTATGCATGGACAGCCTTTCAGCAGCAGCTCTCTCCTTTTACTGTCACAACTCAGGTGCCAGGTGTGTCCAGCAAATACACTTAGCCACTGAGCCATCTCAGCAGCTAAAGATCATGATCTATGAGCATTTGTAGTCACCTAAGAGGCTGCTCACACAGACAGGCAGGAAGTCACTCTCCTCTCACACTGCCTAGCCATGTCAGGCCAATGTCCCAAACTATTTCATAAGATAACTGAAAAAAATCAAACAGACTTCAGGGGCCACAGCATCAATTCATGAGGAATGAATTACAACAAACATTCCAAACAGTATAGAACACCCCAAAGAACCTCAAAAATGCTTACAACACCATTTCTGACTTAGCTAAATCAACCTAGTAGACATAGAAATCTGACCAGAAACTACAAAAGCTACCTGAGGGATACTTTTGCATCCAGAAAAGGTGAAAAGGTCAGAGTAGGAGCAATAAATCACATTTTTAAAACATTAAGCAAATGTATTTCATATTCCAAATACAGAGGAAGATGGAAGTTAGGTCCCTTTAGTCTTTCAGAGCCATCAGTTTGACCTCAAAGCCAAAAACCAAACACCAAGGACCACCAAGTAAGCAATGACCTGAGCCACTTCCACCTGGCAGGTACTGGGTTCAGTGCTGCCCTTGTCAGCTTGCTTTGACCAGGGAAAGGGATCCCAAGATGCTAGGGTAGACAGGACACATCCCACAATAGAGAGAGATTTAAGCAGGAGGCCAGGGTGGGTGCTGGAAGACCTGGTGAAGTAAGTGGCCACCTCAGTCGGGTGGACAGAGATGCAGCAGCAGTGGGCGGTGGAATTTGACAGATGACATGGGGATGCTGCTTACAAAGAAGATTGTATAGTTAAGAATTTGCTCCAGGCAACCCCTCCTGGTCACCTGAGGTTTGGGGCAACGTTCTTTTTAGTTGGCATATTGAAACAAACAGAATGACACTATGCAGCTGAGGCCAACCTCAAACTCAAGAGCATTTCCATCTCAGATCTGAGATTGTAGGTGCCATCTCAACTAGGTCTATTTTATTCTACACCTTTTTGCGGTTCACTTTTTTTCTAAATCATAAAAGGCATATTCTGGAGTGGGTATAAAATGGGCCAAAAGGCTTTTCTCCCTATTAGACACAGTCCCTTGCCATTTTTCCCAGCCTGGCCCTGATCTTGTGGCAACCCTCCTTGTGCTGGGATTACAGCCACACTCCACCACACCTGCTTTCATTTTCTCCCCAAGTCTTTTTATTGTGCGAGTACAGGCACAGGCAGGCCACAGCTCATGTGAAGGTCAAAGGACAACTTTCTGGAGTTGTTCTGTCCTTCCATATCTTTCAGGCAGGTCTGTCTTGTTTCCGACAGTGCTATGTGCTCCAGCTGGCTGCCCTCTGGCCTGTTCTCCCGTCCCCACCCCCCACCTGGTTACAGGAGTGGGGGACTCCATTCACATCTTTCCTGTGGATTCCGGAGGCCCAACTCCATCATTATGACATCATGGCAAGCACTCTGCCGTTCCTGGTCATCTTGGCAGCCCCCGATGTCTTTTCCAAAGGGGAATTTTCCATGTTAAGCTTTACTAGGGCTGGAACTACAGCTCAGTGGTAGAACATGCAAGGGTCCGGGGTTTCATCCAGGCCCCAAAAGCAACCCCCAAACCCAACCAATCAAACCAAAACCCCACTGAATTCTTACAGGTATTCTGCACGTGCAGAGAGGAAGCATTTACATTTAGGCGTCAGAGCTCTTTCCACCTGAGGGACATTCACCATGGAGTCTTAATGTGATAAATTAGCTGGTACAGGGCTCAAATCAACATTTGAAAAAACATCTACTATTTCCCTCCAAGCATGATGGGCCCAACGCTACTTGAGTGAGGAACATGACTCCTGCCTGACCATGTGAAGCCAGGGCTGTGCGCCCACAGTCGGCCGCCTTTTGATTTGTGTTCTTAGCCCAGAAACGTTGGACTCTGACTTAACAAATCCAATGAACCTGCATGTGTCAATACACTGAGAAGAAACACAGCATTTTCAAGACTTTTGACATACTGGTGAATAACAGACTCATTCAAACTTTAATGGGAAAAAAAAGAGGTGCTTGAATGGCTTAGACTTGGGAATTCAAATGCATGTCCAGCGTTTGCCAACTTGTTAGGCACTGGGGGGCGGAGGGGGGGATCAAACATAGAGTTTAGAGCTGATGGTCCCTCAATATCTTTTGGTTTTGTTTGAGAGACCTAGGGATCTAAATATATTTGGAAGTGTGTCTATGTGTGCACTGAGTCTAACTTTAAAAGTATAATTCCTGCCAGGTAAAGAAGTATGAGCCACTGTAGTCCCATTTACTCAGGTGCTGGCTGAGGGGGAGGGGAACTGGAGCCCAGGTGCCAAGACCAGTTGGCCTGGCAACGTAACAAATGGTCTCAGGAAAAAAGAAATTCTGTACAAGGTAATCTGAACATAAAGGGGAGAAGGAATAAAAAACACAAGTAATTTAGCTTTTGAAAGAGCATAATAAAATAAGATTTTAAATAAGTTTAATAAGATAAATAAATCTGGTAGTATAGAATTCTGGGACCTTTCATCTGATTATTTTCTACATTAATGGAGAAATAAATCAGACTTTATTCTTATATATTCTGGTAGAACCAGTACCTATAGCATTAAACAGCCCTTTTAACATCCTGGGATCATATTGGCTTGCACACCCACATCCTAAAAGCCTTTCCCCCAACACCCTATTCAACATCAAACACAGTCTCTAACATCCGGAGTTTAGAAAAATGCTTTAGAAACTCAATTTCTGGTTTTTTTGTTTTGTTTTGTTTTTGAAGAGGCTTCTTCTTGACTCTGAGCCATAGGTACTAACCTTTTTTCTCAGCTAGGGGAGGGCCAGGTCCCAGGCTTGGTATACATACTGAGCCCCTTACTCCCTCAAGGCTACCCCAATGCCCCTTCCTATCTGCCTTCATATCCCACTCATAGGAAGTCTGTAGAGAGACAGAGAGAGAGAGAGAAAAAGAGAGAGAGAGAGAGGGAGGGAGGGAGGGAGGGAGGGAGGGAGGGAGGAGGAGGAAGCGCTGTTTGTTATGTTCTTGTCTTCTGAGGTGCCAACATTAGATACAATCCTGGTAACCCTGACACAGGCATCTGGTTGTTACAGGTCTGCTCTTGTATCCCTGATGGGATAAGATAGGGGTGGGGCTTCATAAACCAACACCCCCCACCCCCACCTCCAAGCACTGCTGCAAAGCAAATAACTCAAGTAAATCCGAAGACAGGCAGATCCCACCACGTTCCTGTCAATTCAGGACAACGTAGGGCATTTGTGCTTAAGCTTGGGTAGTGGAGACCTCTGGGCTCAGTTTGGGAATTTGCTATCCACTTCATGATAATAATGCCCTTCTCTTTTCTCAATAAGCTCACTGACTTTAGAAGAGGGAAATGTGCAGGGGGACACTGAGCACACCGTGCAGAGCAAATGATACAAGAGAAACCAAAAAAGACTTTCACCAGAATGGTTCAACTCTTTCTTACCCTAACTTTCCTGCTTTTGTTATAGTTTCCTTCCAGATTGGCAAAGATTCAGGCAGGGTCCCCTAATGGTAACATTTAGATTAAAAAAATATTTATTGATGTCTCTTTTAAAAATGTTTGGTAATCCCACTAATCATCCAAAAGCAAAGTGTAAACACACCAGGGAAGGGGTAATCCTTGCTTGTGAGCAGCAGACTAGGAGCAGGCTGAGCCCAAGTGCAGCAGTGAGTGAGGAGAATGGGAGCCGGGTGCAGTGACAGAGTGACAAACGGAGCAGGGAAGTACAGATAATCATACTTGGACCCCAGCAACTTCAATACAGCTGCTAAGGAAACCCTGGGCCAAATACTAAAACAGATGAATGGACGAGCCTTCTTTGTGAGCATGCTCAGCATGTTGGCATGGAAACAAGGAAGCACAGAAGTTGTGTAAGCATCTCCCAATGGGTGGATACCATTTCTAGGATGCAAAGAAATTTTTTTTTCTGGTCCCTGGATACATCATATATTTTTCTCCATGCTACCTTTCACCCTGGAAGATTGCAGTTACTGTTTCATAATCCCCAAAGAAGCCCCTTAATAAAATAAAGAAACCACAGTAGCAGTAACACTGGGTTTTGCTGGAATGTCCCCTCCCTCTATATATCACGGCCTAAGATCTCTTCTGGGCATGCCAACAGGAATGGTTAAGTTCTACCAATCCACTTTTTACAGCCAGTATGAACTTCAGTGCCATGGTCACAGAACTGCAGCAGATGGGGTTGAGGGCGTGTTCCTGTGTATGTGTGGCTCTGGGGATCTGGACGCTGCCCTCCCTTTGTAACCCTTGCCCACCATGCTGGGTGGCTTCCACTGGAGAGTCTCCAAGTGTCATTAAATACTCAGTCACCAAGGCTGGTCACCTCCATTGTCATAGGATGATACAGCACCTGCAGAAGCGCTGTCTGCTGCCCCCTACTGATGGCGGTGGAGTGACAGGTGCGAAGTAGGCGTGGACTTTAATATTGGGTAAATGGGTCTGAAACAAGACAGAAACATTACTAAGACATAGCTTAGAAGGAGCAATGCTCTTTGTCAGAGAAGCCAAGGGGCTGAAGGATGGACAGCAGGACTAGCTAAGGAGGCCGGGCTCCACTCTATTCTGTGGAGGATGATCGGAATGAAAACAATTCTAATTTTTCATCTTGTACCAAAGGGATTCACAGTTAGAATCCCGTAACTGGAAGAAGCTAGACAAATTAAAATTAAAATAATTACTTTTTGAATTAAAGCATGTTTCTAGTCTTTACTATGCCTGAGAACTTAAGGCGGCATGCTCCTTCTTGAGAGGGTACAAAGATAGGGATCACATCCTTCAGGCCCTAATCATCTCTAGACACACCCTCAGCTCAGGAAACAGGAAAATTTCTGTATGACTCGAACAAATCAATCTCCTGAAGAATCAGACTAGGGCACCATAGACAGTATGCCCTAGAGAGGCTCTAAACCAGGCTTAGGGTGTACACCTGTAATCTGAGCATTCAGGGGAAGGAGGCAGGAAAATTGAGTTCAAGGTCATCTTCTACTACACACTGAATTCAAAGCCAGCCTGGGCTACATGATACCATATCAAAATACCAGGGAACACTGTTCTAGCTAGCCTGTGCCTACCCGTTGAGAGAGGAGCTGTGGTCACTAGTTTTCCTGAGCTAAGTGTGGAGACGCACCAATCTCCCACGGCTACTCCCCCATCTTGTCCATGCCCACCTCTCCCTGTCCATGTTAGGCAAGCTCTCTACCCGTAAACTACAGTCTCACAGAGTCTCACTAAATAGTCCATGTGGATGCTGAGCTGACTCTACTGCCCAGAATGGCACTGAACTCACGACTCTCCTCTCAGCCCTCTGGTTATCAGGAAGCAAGCCTTGCCAGACACTTTGTGTATCTCTTTTCCTCAGGACCAAATTCTGGCATGAGGTCTTTTGGTTGTTAAGTCTTTCTTCCCTTGCTAAATATCCAAGTAAATTAAAACCAAGAATCATGAGGCTCTAAATCTGAAAAAAGGAATGAACAGGCAAGACAAGAAAATGAGAGATGAGGGAAGGGTGGGGTGGGGCGGGTAGCGGTGCAGCTTTACCCTGAGTCTCTTGATTCCAGCCCGCGTGATCTGCTGGCAGTCATAGAGTTCTATCCGCTCAAGGCTGTGACAGCTCTTCAAGTGTTCCAGGGATGCGTCGGTGATCAGCGGGCAGTTGTCCAGCTCAATCACCTCCAGCTGGTCATGGGCGCAGGCCCCATTCCCTAAGTGACGAATTCCATCGTCTGTGATCAGCTCACAGTGAGAAAGACTCTGTAACCAGAGAGCAAAGATGGACAACCAGGTATCTTCGGCATTTCTCCCGCCACACACTATGTCAAATTCCAACACAGACCCTTCTGGTGGGGTCGGGTGACTACAATGCCATGTGGAGCCATTCATGAAGAAACAAGAATGCAAACCAGAGTTGATAGCCTCTGCTTTCAGCATGTAGGACTGACGCCCCCCCCCCCAGGTATAATTCTAAATTCATTTAATAAATTCATGGAATGACTGTGAACTATTTCACAAAGACAGCCTTAAAAAGTACCCACCCCACAAGGTATGAAGGCACCCTCCCCCAAATTCCAGCAGAGGCAGGAGGATCTCTGTGAGTTCAAGGCTAGCCTGGTCTACATAGCAAATTTCAGGATAGCCAGGGCTACACAGATGCACAGAGAGACCATGGTGCCTCAATTCTGGGAAACTCAGAGTAGTCGACCCAATTCTGGATAGCACTGGCTCACCAAACATACAAAGTAAGACAGCCTGCATTCTGTATTCTGTTCTAGATACAGATCAACCAAAATGCCTCCTGTACATTTACCCAAAGCATGAGTCACAGAGGGCCTCGTCCTGGAAAGCAATGGTCAATTCTGGGTTTCTATTCTATAATGCACATTACTATATAAACCAGGCTGGCCTCAAACTCTAGGTGATCCTTCTGCCTGAGGCTTCTGAGGGTGGATTATAGCACACAGCATCACACCTGGTTAGCAATATAACTGATTAGATACAATAACAGAAAAAATACTTTTTTTGTTTGTTTGGTTTTGTTTTTTCAAGACAGGGTGTCTCTGTGTAGCTTTAGCTGTCCTGGAACTCAACTCTATAGAGCAAGCTGGCCTTGAACTCACAGAGATCCGCCTGCCTCTGCCTCCTGAGTGCTGGTATTAGTGTGCCACTACTGCCTGGCCTGGCCATTAAACACTCTTAAGATGGGTATAGTGAGATGGCTCAGTGGGTAAAAGAACTTGTTTCCAAGCCAGGTGATCTTTGTTTGATCCCTGGAACCCACGTAGAGGAGGCAGGAGGGAATTACTCCAGAAAATTCTCTGTGACCTTCACACGTGCTTATGTGTAGAGGAGGCAGGAGGGAATTACTCCAGAAAATTCTCCTCTGTGACCTTCACATGTGCTTATGTGCACACACAATAATAGATTCAAGAGAACCTGAGTTCAATTCCCAGCACTCACATAGTGGCTCACAACCACCCATAACCCCAGGTCCAGGGGATCAAACAGGAACAAACATAAGTGATGTATACACGTGTGTGCAGGCAAAACACTCACACACACAAAGCAGATAAATAAATAGACTTAAAACACAAAACAGTTAAAGTCAAACTCACCAACACTTGAAGCCGAGGACAGTGTATAGAGAGCTGGATCAATGTGCTGTCTGTGATCTAGAAACAAGTGGGTAAAGTGAGTAAAGTCTGTCTGTCAGGAGTCATTAAATAACACATCCTCAGGCTCTGTCCCCCAAGCTACAAGAGCTGGTAAGAAAACACATGAGAGGGTGCAAATCACACCCAAACCTTTCTAATCTCCATCTTTAAAAAATTTTTCCCTTTAAGAACTATAGATACAAACATTATCTTTAACATACAGTGATAGGTGCCTCCAGAGGGCTGACTCACCGGCTAAGAGAGCTACTCTACCCAAGAACTGGAGTTAGATAGACACTTAGGCCAGGCAGCTCACGGGGATCTAATATGCACTCTTCTGGCCTTTAGGGGAGATGAGCGTGCACCCCATTCACACACGCTCACACTAAGTGCACACACTCATACCATAGACAACAAAACTCCAATGGTGGGACTGGCCTCTCCTAAGTTTTAAGCCTTCCTTGTTTAAAATTCTGTTGAGTTTTGATTTTTAAAATCTGTCCTCTTCTATCCACTAGACTTTTTGATGTCCTTTCTTTGGACCAGTAGAGCGAAAAACCAGAGTTTATGATCCATGGAAAAACTAACGTCAAAGCACCCTTCAAATTTTAAGTATCTTCCCCCCATCCCACCTCCTTAAGGCAAGTCACCACACAGGACAAATGGAGTCACTTCTGGAACCCTGGGTGGTATATGAATGTTACAGGAGGGAAATTTGCCTCTTTTCAACCTCCTCTCCTACCTTTATTTCTATTACATACAGCTTGAGGGGCTCTAAGAACCGGTGAGTGCAGACGGCAGTTATTGACTTAGAGGGACTAACACCAGTAAAGACACAGAAGGCACTGAGGCCTGAGCAGGGGGTGAATGGATGGTGAGACATTAATTCACTAATCAACAGTGGCTGTTATGTAGTGTCTGGTCAAACACCACTCCCTGGTGGTCCTGGAAGACATGCAGGAAGTGGAGAATCGGTGACACTGTCAAGCACTACATAGGGAAGAGTTTTAGTATTCTGCAGCACACATGCCATTTCTATCACCATGCTCGTTTGGACAAAACACACACTTACCTGAACACATTCTTCTAGATCCATCTTTTCAAGCTCATGGCAGTTCTACAAAGTATAATGCCACATATTTCAGTACAAACTTTTAAAACATTGGCAAACTATAAAAGCCAAAAAAAAAAAAAAAAACCTAGAAACAAAACTAAGAGACTGTATTAAATATAATGATCAAATCTTGATGTTTCAGAGTTGGTTAGTCTAGTACCACTTTCTATTATATGTTTTTTAAAGATTCATTTATTGTGAATAATTAAATAAATACTGGTAGGCAATTATGCCTGCAAGCCAGAAGAGGGCACCAGATCTCATTACAGATGGTTGTGAGCCACCATTTGGATGCTGCTAATGGAACTCAGGACCTCTGGAAGAGCAGCCAGTGCTCTTAACCACTGAGCCATTATCTCCATCTTTTTTGAGACAGGGTTTTGCTCTGTGGCCCAGGCTGTCCTCAAATCCATGACTGACCTGCCTCTGTTGTGATATATTATTTATGATTAAAGCTTGCCTGAGGATTCAGAAAGCAAAGTCAGCCTCAAGTTATA